CAATATGGATAGATTACATATAATGATATGTTGGGATCAAGTCAGCCATATTTAGATTCATTGAACAACATCATAGTACAAAAATTTTGATGCCATCCCTACTGTAACACTCGTGTATGATAAAGAAAATCATAGACTGCATATATTGATATCTCGTGAATGGTTAGTGTTCCTTGTTTAATGAAGTTCGCATTGTAAGATACATTTCACTTTTAAAATCAAATAGAGAACGTAACGATATAATAAGTTCCACTAAATGTTACATGGATTGAACATGAAAAAAATAAACCTAGACAACAAAACTTGTGTTCATAACAAATAGAGAGTTGAAAACAACTCAATTTCAAATTTCAACACAAAAAAGGGCGTAATGAAATTGAAGCACATTATAAACATCATCTGGTATAATAAAATCGTTTGAAACTCAAAGGTCGACACAAAACATTGCTGAAATTGTTTAAAATCAGAAGAAGTGTAATTGTGATTTTAAATCCTTGTCTTGAAATTCACCGAATGCATTACAACAAACAGGGTGTCCTTTATCCACACCAGGCATATATATAACGTTTTCATGCTCCCTCTCCAGTGGTTTCTTCTTCCAATAGTTCATTGTCTTGAATTCTTTTCTTTAGGCTACAACACTTCTCAGCATTGATAAGGTTTCTATGACCTTCAAATCCCTGGCGCTGAGGAATTTAAGGAGAATTACATTGCTTCTTTCATTGACCAAAATTGGGATTCCCTAGATGAAAACCTCCTACGTGGTGTTGTTGCTACTAGTGCTGTTGTTTCCTCCTCCCTTCGCTTTCTCTCCTCTATCAAAGGGGATGTTCTTCACCGACTATTTTTTCTTGACAAATGATGGGGATGGAAATTTTTAGGATAGAGTGAATTTCAAACCGGTTGAAGATGATTTTTGCAGTAGTTGAATTGCCACAAAATTGGGGATTGGTAGCAATGATTGTGGGATTTATGATATGGAAGGTTTTGTTAGAGCAATGAATGCCCTCTAATTTAATGTTCATTATTTGGAGTGAGGTTACTTTTTTAGATTTCATTTTTACTCTTAATATTGCAGTATTATTTGAAATTAAATAGATGGATAGTGAAGTTTGAATATTTTACTAAAATAAGGTTGGGTTCGGCTACATGTATACGGGGGTGTACACTTCGGTGTACACAAGTGTACATCCCTCCCTCACATGGGAGGTCGGTCGGAAGCATTTATTGGGCGTGGAGCTCCTTCTCATGTGAGGGGCGTGTACGACGAAATGTACACATCCTTGTACAAATGGCTTTTTCCAATAAGGTATGTGGTGTGATTTCCACTTCGGTATAAACAAGTGAATTTCTGCCCAAATTACAATATCTTTCTTTCAAAATAAAAAAATAAAATAAAATCATTACATGTCTCCAAAGGTATAGGATTGTTTCATGTTGATCACCAAAATTTAATTTATTTTAATATAGTCACTCTACGTGCAATGTTTGTTTAATTTCTTTTTCTTTCTTTATCTTTCAGTTCACGATCTAAATAAATTATGTGACTCCTTCAATATATACGTGATGGCAATTAACAACTACAATATCACAGACTAACAATCCACGAGATTAAAAATGTGGGACACTTTGGTTTCAATATTAATTTGAAGTGGTGAAATGTGAATAGGATCGTCAATTAAATGACTATTTTGAAATAAATTGTAGTTTGATGACTAACACGAAATAAGTCCATAAGTTTGGGGACATCTAAAGAAATTTTCTCTTTCCTTCCATCGTTTAACTGAGGAAATACTGTCTTATCCCCCGTCACTAAATACGTTTTCCTTACCCACAACCACCACAGCACCAGTACTATGGCTGCCTCTACCACGTCTCTTTCCGCCACCTTCTCCCTGTCCTTCCACCACAACCACCCATCTCGCCTCTCTTTTCTCCACCCCTCCTTTGCCCCGAAACACCCACAAAAACCCCTCTCCCTCCACCTGAAACTCATTCCAATCAAAGCCAACTCTTCCGACATCGACACCACATACTTCGACACAACTGACCCTGAAGAAATCTCCACATTCAGTCCCCCTGAACGCCCCGAAGACTTCGTCCAACCACCCTCCTTCGACGAAGGCCCATTCGAGTCAGAGGACGAGATTGCCAGGGCCTACGAGGAGTTATACGGCGCTGCGTACAGCGGAGAGACTTTTCTTGGAAATGATGTGTATGCAATGGACTCTAAGGTGAAGAAAACAACTGGGTTTGGGTCTAAATCGAAGAAAGAAAAAGTGAGAGATGGATTTGATGAGAGAGTTGTGCAGGTCAGGAGGGTTACTAAAGTGGTGAAGGGAGGGAAGCAATTGCATTTTAGGGCTGTTGTTGTGGTGGGTGATAAGCAGGGAAATGTTGGGGTTGGAGTAGGCAAAGCTAAGGAAGTAATTGGTGCTGTTCAAAAATCTGCTGTTAATGCCAGGAGGAATATAATTACAGTTCCCATGACCAAGTACAAGACTTTCCCCCACAGGTATCTCTTTGATGAACAATCAACAATCCATTGTCTGTTGGGAGAATTACCTTCAACACCATTTTTTTGGCATGATTAGTCAATGGAAAATATTTCATAATTTCTGGGCATTGATTTTGTTCAATAAAGAACTTTTGATTGGTTTTCAGGGATATTTCTTGGCATTGCAGAAATTTGTTTGCAAATTATTTAAATTCTGGTTTCTTTGAAGGATGCTGATAAAGTTTGCATGTATGAACTGGATTATGAATCTTGAGTATAATTATTAACTGAATGTTCGATTTCTGAAATTTTAGGTAATTGGTTTTGATGTGGGGACTGAAATTGTCGTCTGATAGGGCAATTTATGGTTCTTGATTCTTATATTGGAGTTCGTAATTGGTAAAGTTAAACAAGAAGAAGAAAAAGAAGCTAAGTCTAATAGCCGTATATTTGGCTGGATTACATGAATCTGTTCGGCGTCCTGTTCAATCCAAAGGTGTCTTTTGTGAGAGGTTATATGAAATTAGATGTGTTAGCAATCACACCGCGTTATGCTAATTTAGTGTCCATAGTATTAATGTTAAACGACATTGATATTTAATTTCCATTGGAAGAAAGAGAGAGCATTTGTTTATCCCTATAGTGAAATTCAAAAAGCAATCTAGTATGTAAGATTCGGGAATCGATGGAGATACCAGGTAATGTGAATTGGTCGAGTTGTAAAATTACGATTTAGTGTGTGACCACTGTCTAGAAGAGATGGTCGAATAGGTTGTTTGATTCAATTGGTAAATCTGTTAATTTTTTGGTGAAAAATTCATGGAATATCAACATGTTTAGACTGACATTACTAGTTAGATGTGTGATGAAACTCACTTTTTATTTAACTTCTGATATTATTGATGAATTGAAATGGCAGATCTGAGGCAGACTATGGGGCAGCTAGAGTTATGCTTCGACCTGCTTCCCCAGGTACGGGAGTTATTGCTGGAGGTGCTGTGAGGATCGTTTTAGAACTGGCTGGGGTTGAAAATGCACTGGGAAAACAACTAGGTAGCAACAATGCTCTCAACAATGCACGAGCCACGGTTGTAGCCGTGCAGAAAATGAGGCAATTCAGTGAAGTGGCTGAAGAGCGTGGCATCCCAATGGAAGAACTCTGGAAGTGAAAGACTTGCAAACTCCGTATCAATTTTTCAATTATTTGTAGAAATTATCTCCCTTTAAGATTTTTTCACCAGTGAACGAAAACGAGCGTTTTTACGTGAGTATATCATATTTCTCCTATTGTAGAACCAAATCTGTTTAATGTGCAAGAAATGTGGTTTCTTCTTCATTTGTATGCAATAACAGGCCTGAATGTTACTTGAAAATGCAGTCTTAAAATGATGGAAAATTGTAGGTAGTATTGAATTTCTTGGCAGATTGATCACTTGACGATGTTTGAACATTGTGAAGCATAGAGTTTTAGGACATGTTTGGTGTGCAGAATTATTGTGATGCTTCATTAGTCCTTTGTCGGTATAGAGCGATACAAAGAACATTATTTTTTCTCCATGAAACCATACAATACTGATCATTCTATTTTTTTTCTTAATACTATACAATACCATATGCTTTAGCAGATGCAGTAATCAAGTTAATTGTTCCAATAGTCATTGAACTTAGGTCCATATCTTTGATTGTCCATTGAACTTTAAATGTCGAGTTTTGGCAACTGAACTTTGAAAAATATCGAGTTTTGGCCACTGAACTTTGAAAAATATCGAGTTTTAGTCACTGAACTTAGGTCCATGTCTTCGATTGCTCACTAAAATTTAAAATATTGAGTTTTGACTACTGAACTTTGAAAAATGTTATATATTTTTTACTGGACTTTGAAAAATATTGTACATTATTTATTGAATTTTGAAAAATGTTGTATATTATTCACTGTAAATTCGATATTTTTTAAAGTTCAACAGTTATGCAAGTGAGAAACGTATGACATATTTCAAAGTTTAGTGGTCAAAATTCGACATTTTAAATTCAGTGAGCAATTGAAGATATGAATCTAAATTCAGTGATCAAAGCTCGACATTTTTCAAAGTTTAGTGATCAAAATTCGACATTTTAAAATTCAGTGGCCAATTAAAGACATTGACTTAAGTTCAGTAACCTTTGGAACAATTAACTCGCAGTAATCACTAGTGCCAAGATTTTAACATCATTTAATATAGTGCTTGTTTGGCTGATTTTTGAGAAGTCAAAAAGAGCTTTCGAGATCCAAAAATTGCTTTGAAACTCGATCTTATAAAAGTGATTCATTTAGATCGAAGAATTTTAGAGAAATTTAGCTCAATGTTTTTTCCTTTAGAATCTCTTTTGGAAGAGGAAGTTATTTTAGAAATTAGTTTTCAAATACCAATTAATATAGCTTCCTCACGAGACTCTTCATCAAGGCCAAGGCCCATAATATATTTGAGCACTGTAATATCCACCTTAGGGGAATAAAAACACAATAGATAGAAAGGAGGCATTAATCTTGAATTGGAGAATCAAGCATCTTCTTATCTTTAGTGTGAACATGATAAGCTAAGCATCTTTATCTGGAAGGGTTAGGAAATGAATCAAAATACAGTAATACAAATGGGCAAAAACCCTCTATAAGTGAGTTATTGTGTCAACACAAATGTCATATCGGAAAAAGAAATGAAGTTCTTGTTGCAGCTACCCTGCTGCTCATGTTTCTGCTACATCAAGGGCAAAAAGCACAAGTCGAAGAAGGAGGAACAAAAGGAAGGTTGAAGCACACAACGAAGAAATGAGCAGATCTTCAAAAATATAGAGACGAGCTATATTAAGGGTCCGTTTGGCATGACTTTTGCAAAATCGAAAGGAGTTTTTGTCATTCAAAAACTGCTTTTGAACTCGTTTGACTAGTTTTATAAAAATGCTTCTTCTAGTTATAAGAATTTTAAAGGAAGTTGGTCCAAAAGCTCTTCTACAGAAATCGAAAGCAAAAGCAATGTCAAACGGTCCTAACTACTTCTTTTTACTTGAGATTGTTTCTTCCATGTATTGTACTTCAGAAACTGCATAATGTATTGATTGAGTTGCTTCAGTTGCTCTTCTTGCTTTTATCCTCTCCATTTCCAGGCGCTAAGCCAATCTCCTGCATTTGGTGTTCGACTGAGACAAGCCCTGTCTCTGCGAGAAATCTACGAGAGAATAGACCCCAAATGAGTTAGAAGCCTATCAATCATGATTCATCATCAATAGATGCATTCAAAACTCTATACATCCAAATGAAGGTAAACAAAAACACTTGTATTATCAAGAATTTATAGGTTCATAACAAGAATTTAGTCCATGGATTCAAAATTACAGTCGCACTATATGTATATAATGGTTTACAGACATTTGATGTGGTAAGATATAATTGGGTCAAAATTTCTTCGACCAAATAAAATATATATATATATATATTCACTTTCTTTTTGACACCTCATTTATATGTAAACCATTATATAACTCCATAATGTATAAGTAGCATTATTCTAAAAATTATTTACTTGCCACATGAATTAAGTGGACAATTAAAGCTACCACAAAGTCCATATTTCCTCTCGAGCCAAATTTTCACAAACTTGTATTAAGCAAAATATATAACTAGATTGTGGCAAAATATAAGCAAAGGAAAAGAAGAAAATCATTGCACTTGGCAGCATTTATTTTCTCAACTAGGAACCATCCACAAAAGCAGTCAAATAATGGAAAGTTTAGAGACGTGGATTTTTCCTTCATGGTTCAAATCAAACTGATAGAGACATAAGATAGTTGCTCAATAAAAACATCGTCACATTTCAGTTTGAATGGTATGAATGCATGATGACCAAAAAGATATAGTCATCCCTAATCAAGACAGCAACCTTCAATAGCTCTTGCTAGAAAGGTTTTGATAGAAATAATCTGTATTTCTTTTTCTATTCCTCCAATCAGTTAAATAGTTTAATATTCACTAATCAAAACAAAGACAAAAGAAAATTAAATAATGCATTTCTATCTAACTATGACAATGTATAGATTATAGATAGTAGAGTAAAGAAAAAATCTACTTAGACCTATTTTATATGCACCAGCAAATAGCAGGGTGAGTGTAAAGCCACTCGCCAGACAACCAGCCACAAAAAAAAGACAATTGCCTGTGAATGATTAATCAGACAACCAGTTCTCTACTAGGATTTTCCCATAAATAGAGAACTCATGATATTCAATAGAAAGTTATATAAACCAATTGCATTGATGGCACAAGAATGGAGGATTTTTACTAGTTCTGTCAGCAGATGTTTCTTAGGGTGTTTCTAAAATGAATGCAATATCAAGAGTCAAATACAAAGTTCCAAAACAAAAACAACATATATAGTGCATGAAGTTAAGATTGCTTCACAAAGATCCGTTTCCAGTCATTTGATCCGACGAAAAACTTCTGAAGTCCCTGAAGGCACAATTTAGGATTTTATAAGACTACTAGGAATGCTACACCAATCCATTGATCTCCATTGGAAAAGACATGCTAAGGCATTTGGACCAAATGAAGCCTCAGCTATCACTGCGTACGCATACGTACCATCTCAGAAGAACCATGAACTTGTTCACCATGCATCTCGTACAAAAACATGTGTCTAGATGGTCTATCAAAAACTTATATGGCGTTTCCAATAAGCTGTTTTGAACAAAGTATACAAGATTAAAGTTTAAAAATAAGTTAAATTTGTGTTGCTTGTCCTGCGAAGTGTTGTGTAGTCCAAATATACTAATACATGCCATCTCAACAAGGTTTAAAATCCAACCTAATTCGTTTAGGCAATTGCCCTGATCAAGTTAAAATGATTTTTCGCCCATATGCTCCCGATGCGCATGCAATGTGTACATATGGTCCACAGTCCTAAAAAAATGGACATACACAGAAAACGGGAAAAAAAAAAAAAAACTTTATCTTCAATATGATTAAGAACATGTTTGGCTAAGACTACGAAGAATAAAGCCTAACATGTTCAGATTTAATATATTATACTTTAAAGTTTAAATTACTTTTCACAAGTCTTTTTACTTTTTTCTTGGCTTAGTCAAACATTCTCTAAATTCTAACCTTATATGAGAAAATTGTGGTACCAAGTAAGGAGCAAGAAAAGGGTGCCTGTAATCAGAACAAGAAATGTAACATGGAGTACTGAAGCAGAGTCACTGGAAGAGAAAGCTAAGCCCAACACAGCAGCCAGGCATAGACCCAGCATCAAGAATGAAATCTTTAAAGTATTCCAAGTAGGACCCTAGAATTAAAAACGTCAAAATCTGTGAAACTTTTTTGATTGAAGTAGGTTCTAATAATTGGAACAGAGAAACTTCAGTGTTGACTAAAAGATGAGAAATTTATTTCATATGTTGACCCCAGGAGCTAAGGCTCCAAGCAAGACTGCTTTTGCCGACGCGAAATCTTCTGTACTTGATTGTTTAGAATCAGATTGCAGATTTGTGTGTTGAGTGTGGGACCGAGCTACATAGCCCACGCGGTTGACGGCATGATTGACATAATATATACACATGGGGATCGGGATTATTTTATTCATAGAAAACCCACGTCGACCATGTGAGGGTGCGGTCGCCCCAATGTCAATGGAGCGGATCGTTTGGTTTTTTCCAATGTGCATCTCTGAGAGAGAGAGTTTGGGCCAACTTAAGGAAAAGTTGGGCCTTAATTTTTTGAGACTACAAAAACTGGTCCATAGTATTACTGAAGCTGCATTTCAGTTGCTAATCCTTGGTTTTGATGGTTATTGGACAAAAGTTTTAAATATAGTTCATTATTAACCTCTAAATTTGGAGCGAGAAGATATGATACATTGGTATAAATGATCTCAATAAATAAAAATTAGGAAAACTCGTTAATTTGATCTTGAAAAAGAATTTAATGATTACATTGGTACAAATGATTTCTCAATAAATAAAAATTAGGAAAACTCGTTAAATTGATCTCGAAAAAGAATTTACGATCTAATCATTCTTTTATAATTTAAATGATGAAACAACTGTTCCAAGCATCCCTTTGACTTAAAGTTGATATATAACATGTTAAAGTGGTTTAATCTTTACTTAGTTGGCACATATTTCAAGAACCTTTAGCCTTCAATCCACTTGAATTTAAACTCTCAACGTCGTATATAATTGTTGTTACGCATGCTTTTCTTAGTTCACAAGTTTTTGGAGAAATGTTCAGAACATGAGAAATGGGCATTTTGCATATTGCTTTTACTTATTTCTTTTCATTAATACTATCGAGTATCGTCCAGTTTTCTTCGACAAACAGGCCAAAAGGTGAAAATTTTTATGAAAAAATTCTCATATAGTCGCAATTGAAGCTCCAAGAAGATAATACACTAAATGCAAGCATAATTGCAAATATTTTAATTCAACTCAACAGTTCAATCTGTAAAATGCTGTAAACAATATGTTACAGAAAATCACACCTGGTGCAAATTTCCAAATCTTATACTTTCTATGTATGTACACACTTATATATGATAGATTCATCCAATAAAAGTAGGACCTTTTATTTGGGAATCTGGCTGCAGCTGCCATTCTCTCTGTTTAAGATACTGCAGAAGTGGTTGTTGTTCTGTTCTTAACTCCATTCCAACACCAACACCACATACATATGGAAATGATCTTTGATAACCAAGAAAAAGTTTGTCCCTTCTTTGTCCTTCTGCCCCATAAACAAGGGAAGAATTTAGATATGGTTGAGGGTTGTTTGAATACACAGTGGGATTGGAAACAAAACGATTTCCCCACTGGTCGTAGACATCGAATGTAGAAATGTCATTCGTGTAAAAACTTCCATAGGCCGGGGCATTGGAGTGAACTGGTGATATGAGATTCTTGGCACTTTCCAGATTCTGACTGTTTCGATAGTGATAAAGCCATTCAGAAGAACTCATTCCAAGTAGTGGTGGGCATCCATCGACAAGGCCATGAACTCCAGGACGAAAACCAATATGCGGACCAATTACAGATTGACTGGGAAATCCAAGGGTTGGTGCTGCGCCTAGAATGCCATCTGACTTGTTCCCGCCTTCAGGCTTCAACTCTGGAAAATTAGACAAATTCTCCCTAAACCAAAGAGCGTCATCAGGCAATACTGGTGCAGAAGGCAATGGGGTGACATAAGGAGAACTCGAGGTACTTGCTGAAATCTGCACAAGGGCATCCTCATAATCCTTAGTTTCATCGATCGAGATATTAGAAAATGATGTAGAAGCTATTTCCTCAATAGGACTTAATTTGTGTTTAGTGATGTCCTTTAGCCCTTTCTCTTCAGTATTCGAACTTTCTCTACTAAAGAACCAAGCACTGAGGGAAGGAGGCCCGGGTGGGTGACCAGTCGGGTCTTTCAATTGAGGCTCTTGCTGTTTGAATGGCCTGCTGGGTTCTGAATCAGACGTGATGGGGCAGAAACTGAATGAATCGTTCTCTGGCGGATTCTGAGCAATACAAAGTGATGTGCCACGACGCAAGAACTCATCAGGAGTTGTTGTTTGAATCTCTTTGCCTTCATGACAAACTTGATCATTTTTGGCATTGGAAATATATAGTGGAGCAGAGTTATGTCTTGTAATCGGCTTAAAGAGGATGACTTCTTCCTCTTCTGTAGTCGCAGTGTGGGTGTTTAAACTGGGGTGATCTTGACTTTTGCCAGACAAAGGTTCCTCATCTTCTATGGATCTAGTCGTCTGCTCATAAGGCTCTGTGATTTCAGGACAAGATCCTCCTTGGTCGAATTTTTTCATTGTCTTTCCTGTATAAAATTTGCATTTCACTTTATCATAAAAGATCCAGTTTTGAGAACCATTAAGACAGTCTACAATTATTCTTGCAGAATGAAGCATGCGCCAAGAACGCAGTAGATTCTTATTCTCGAAATCTTCCATGCATTCTGATCGAGTCGTGAAGTTGAGCAAAGCCTGTGCTCGAGTTATCGGATAAAACCCCCTCAACTCATGATCTTCCCAAAGAGCAGTATAATCTGGAACAATTTCTCTCTCATTTTCATCAAATCTATTCAAAAGATCAGCCAAAGAACTGAAAAAGTAAGATACAGCATTCATTACCCTCTCGTCTGCAACATATGCTACTACTCTGTTGATAGTGCCAACTAACCACTCAACAAAAACTAGCACAGCCGGTAAAAGTGGGCAAATTTTCAGATAATTACCCTTCAGACATCTCTCGGAAAGGCGACCCATGCAAATGAACATAAAAGTAAGTGCCAATGGTGTCTGAGCAGACAGCTGATTATTGTCTCTTTCTGTTCGCTCCTTTCTTTCTGAGCTTTCAGCCAGGCTTTGGAAGGTGAAGATGAGTATGCAAACAAGTTGAATTGCACGATAAGGACCTTTTCTTGTCGAATCCATATGTCGGTAAGACTCAAGAGCGGCATTTAGTTCTGCATCATCTAGTGCCAACAAAGCTTCCAATGTGATCATCATAGAAGCAAGAGTGCTTGAAAATTCCTGCAAACTGCATTACACAAACCACGGTGGGGATTCAATTGAAGTACTACTCAAAAAATGCATGGTAAATGTTTCTACTTGGCCATAGAGTTTCCCTTCAATGAATACACCGCATAAATCCTAGATAAATGATCCTCTACGAAATTTCCATTTGCAAAAATTCACAAAGACTTCACACTGAAACAACTATCTGGGATATCAACCAGATACAAAAAGATCGAATAGAGTGCTTGAATATCAGAATATGATGATACTAATAGCATTGTTACAGCTAATAGCCTAAAAGGCACGAAATCGTGATAATAAAAGCATGAAAGAAGACTAATATGCTGAAATGAGCACCTTGATCTCATAAGAAACAAGCTTATCATTCGGATAAACATGGGCCATAAGTTGAATTTTGCAGCAGAAACGTTCTCCAGGTCTTCTAAGTTTATGTTATATGTAGAAACTCGATCTGCATGTGATTTATTCTGTAAGGATATTCTCGTCGATGGATTTGAGAAGTCAAAGTGCACCTCAGAAGAAAGCGAGTGCAAATGAGATACCCTGTTCTGCAAAATCACAACAAAGGGAATAACAAATTTAATCGGTATATGGAAAAATTGATTTTTGTTTGTTTATTTATTTATATATTTATTGGCAAAACACTATAACGAGTTTCACCTCTTCAAAGAGCAACATAAGGTTGTTCCACGAATCAGGAAAAGGCTCTTGAACTGCCAAACTCCTTATGCAATGATACAAAGCAAGAAAAGCATCACCAACATATGTTGCCAACAATGCTAACTGCAAAAACGATTAAACTTTTAAATTCAAATCTTACAACGGTAAAAATAGTTCAGTTTTTCCTATATGCCAGGTTAAAAGCATCACCAACATATGTTGCCAACAATGCTAACTGCAAAAACGATTAAACTTTTAAATTCAAATCTTACAACGGTAAAAATAGTTCAGTTTTTCCTATATGCCAGGTTAAACTACTTTTCCTATATACAAATCACATAATTATAACAGCCCAAACATTGTATTGATTTTTCAGAATAAATATGAACCCTGACAATAAAGAGATGTTATGAAGAAAAATACCTGATTATGGGGATTTCCGCTATCTGGCCATGTTCTGGTTGCTTCTATGTAGTAGGATGCTGCAATGGACCATTTACAGGCATCAGGCTTCTTAAAAATCTCGGTATATCTTGCAAGATCCCCGAGACAAACCAAAAGGCGATGGCACGTATATTGACATTTATGCAGCTTTGTGGGCTCAGTAGAAAATGAACTTCCACCCTTATTATCCATGAAAACTTCTGCAGGGAACCCACAATTTGTTCTAAGCTTTATGATCAAATTCCGATAGAATTCCGTCACTTCAGACAAAAATGTCCTAAATCCTTCCAGATGTTTTTCAATGTTTGTTTGAGGATTAATGCTGTCATTATGAGCATCCCTTTTTGCGTTCTGCCATATCCGTTTACGAAATTCATCAATGTGCACGTAATGCAGCTTCCACAAAAGATACTCAGCCTCCTTAAGCTCCCTCAGGTCTGAATCGCTTAAAATAATTTCCTCATAACTAGCTCTGACTTTATGGTATAGCTCTAGAACGTCACTGTGTAAAAGACCTTTAGAGTAAATTAACGCCAACAACTGCTTCTCTGTGTTAACAATCTATAAGACAAAAGTGTCATAAGTAATGAATTTGCGAACAATTGAAAATTATTATCATATTGTTGCAGCTTCACGAGATTACCACGAAAGAATTCTCTGATGCCCTTTGATCTTCACGAGTAGAAGACGAATCGACATTCATTTTTACTTCTGGTGAACTTTCCTTAATAATAGTGCATATGATCCTAAGTGCTGATATATCATCTGTTAAAGTAAATTGCCGAACAATTAGGAGATAACATGAAAGATACATTAATATAAACAGTGTTCGATGATTCTTTCGTCGTGCTAATGCTAGAAGTGCTAATTTCTTGGCAAAATTCTATTAACTAAGGCTTCTAATTAAGCAGGAGTTTCCCTTCAAA